CAGTTGCACCCGCGATATAAAAGAAAGTTTGGTTTTCTTCAAGAAATAAATTGGTAATTTTTTGAAACTTTGTAGAAGTAAGAAGAAATAAAAGGAAAACTGGATTCAGTCGCAATAGAAGGTATATTGTCATTTTAATTAAAATTAACGTTGACTAAAATGAGTTGCACCCGCGATCAAAATATTAGAATCGCGGGTGCAACACTTATGACTCTTACGATTACATTAGGGATTTTTTAGCGAGTTACCGGTAATAAAAAGTTAAAACCATTTTATTTTAGCGAGTAACCGGCAACTGCATGAAATGTCAAATCAGTAACCGCGGTTAAGAATTGAGTAACACAAATGTTGAGTAGTGTTACTGGTAGCGGTAAATATTCTTCTCTTTTTAATGCAAGTTTTTTGTTTATTTTTACTATGTTTGACAGTTCTCGATATCGAGCTTTTGAGTTTAGCTAATTTTATCGGGTTTTTGGGTTGAACCAACGGTTCAGTTAATTTTAAAATTAAAAATGATTGAAATTCGAATGGTAAATATAAGCCTTAATCATCAGGGAAGGGATATAAATTTAGAAGTAAATGAGGAAACGGCGAATGTATTGTTAAATGGTAGGTAAATATTTTCATTTTTTACTAGATACAAATTTATTTATTTGTATATTTTTTATAATTTTTGCTATATAATTCTTTTATATCCATTAAATTTCATAAAATAGCAAACTAAACTAAAGGTAAACAAGATTTAAGGTTATGTCGAACTTTTTGACATTTATGTCAAATTAGTTTTGACAACTGCTACTAAAAAAAAAACTTAGAAAAGTTACAAAAAAAGTAACGCAAAAGTTACGCGTTTCTTATGTTTACAGCGATTCTGAAGATGAACCTTAAGGCTGATAAATCGCCGACTATTCCAAACAAATAATTTATTTAAGTTACATAGGAAAGTACTAATTAGTGATACAGCATCTATGGTCTCATATCTTTAATTTAAAGTTACATGGAAATGTTTATATTCACTACAGTGAGACGAGTTGCACCCGCGATAATTTTACGTTGCACCCGCGACTGGATAAAAAGTGAATAATTTATAATATTTATTTCTTTTAATAATTTTATTTAAGTTAATAATTAGTTTATTTTATATTCTTTTAAATATATTTATAATGTAAAAATAATTTATAATGTAAAAATAATTTAGTAAATATTCCATAATTAACAGACTTTTTTCATCCTAGCTTCAGGAACTTTAATGGTGGGCCGATTTCGTTGCACCCGCGATAGCACTTTGAACCTCCCCTGTGTCTATTTATACATTTTATTAAATGTTTTTTATATTAATTTTTGTAAAACAGATTACAATGTAATCCTGCGACTAGTCATTTCTTTAAAAGGAGTTTTTATTTTCTTAGTAAGAAGCCTTGAGTGAGTCTAAATGTTGCACCCGCGAGTACGGAATCGCCCTATACTTATTTTATATATAAAAATCCAAAAAAATCGTTATTTTAAAATTAAAGAATTATTTTTTGTGTGCAGTTCTGTTTGTTTTAAATAAATTTCTATTTTAATAGCAGTTCTCTGTTTGTTTTTAATAAATTACTTAGTACATATTGTTCTGTTGCTTTGATAAAATATGTACTATAGTGCATATATGCATTGTCCACTGCTTTGGTAAGAAATACTCCTTAAAAGCAATAATAATCCATAACTTTGGTTGCAAAGCAATGTAATACAATAGGCGGACGTTGATCAGATCGGCCTCCTGACGTCACAGTTTCGATGCAGGAGTGGGGGCTACACTCCCGCCTGGTTAGAGAACGCCGTGGTTTGACGAAAAATTCAAAAATCGATTTTATTTAAAAACTTATTGTTTTAGTCAAGTAAATGCTCAAACTGTTGTCCGCCAACATGCATACAGTGATGGAGGTTATCTTCTAACCTTTGACGTACATTCTCGAGCACTTCCGGTGTCACTTCGCGACATACGTCAATGATTCTTCCTCGCAGATCTTTCAATGTGTCAGGTGGAGTGCTGTAAACTTCGGTTTTTATGTGCCCCCACAAAAAAATCTAAAGGACTTAAGTCGGGTAAACGAGGAGGCCACTCAATTGCACCCCTTCGTCCTTCCTGGAAACGTGTCATTTAAAAAAATGTGCAAATTTTGCGAGTAGTGCGGAGAAGCTCCGCCTTGTTGGAAAGTCAGTTCCTGTTCATTGTATGCAGGGTCGTTCTCTATGATATGTGTTAGAGCTGGCTCGATGGCATTTTGTAGTAAATCCAGGTACATATCGTCTGTTAAATTTCCAGGAAGGAAAAAAGGACCACATGTGCACAATGGAATTTCCAAAAATAACACCCCTTCTGGGAGTGTTGTGTGTGAGACTCGTTGAAAATCCTTGGATTGGCATCAGCCCAGTAACGACAATTGTGACGATTCATCAATTAAGAAAAAAGTACACTTGCCGAAAAATACACGTTAAATAAAAAATTAACATTATTAATCACTTGTTCAGTCATAATTTCGCAAAATTGAGAGCGGCGATCGAAGTCGTCTTCATTTAGTTCTTGCCCTAACCGAAGGATGGAACTTGTATTTTTTTAATATTCGTTGGACGCCCATCGTATAGCCAATTTTCTTGTACTCAGCGTACTATCCATTACAAGTTTACCTAATATTGCTATCTCCGTAGGTTCATTTAGTACCGGATTTTCAAGCTGCCTCTCTTTGTTATGAACGGAATCTGTTTCGCGAAATTGAGCCACCAATTCGCGAACAATTTCCCAGAAGCATGTTTGTCATGATGCCGTTGGTTAAACAGCTCCGCTACTTACCCGATTTCCACATTCAATATTAAAAAAAAAGCTAATTTCTACTCTTTCTGCAATTGAGTACACCATAATTGAATAATTTAAAATGTTTAATAAGTTTGAAAAACTTTAATACAACCACCTGACCTATTTAAATTTGAAGCAACAAGCCCGATAATTATTTATTCACTAATTAGTGAGTAAATAATTATCGGGGGTTTTGCTTTAAATTTAATTAATTAATACGAGCCTAAAAAATACCAGCAAAAACAGCGAATTCTTTTGTAGGAATTTATTTCAATAATCCAGTTTTTAAGTAAAATTAAATTGATTGGTGCATTTTTCCTCAAATGTATTGTTAGTATTTCAATGCTCCATAATTTCTAAACGAGTCGATAGATTTTCTAAAACTAAGCAGCAATGTATAGGGAATTAAAAACACTTTTTAATGAGGTGTAATTCCACCCCTATTACCATTTGAAAAAATTTGGAGGATGACACCCCAACTTAGGGGGTTGAAGATTTTGCTTTACTTTTTGAGTCAAAAGTTGCCTCCCTGACAAACAAACTTGACGTATTTTTGGATTTTGCTGAAAAGTTTTTTCCCACCCTGTTTTCAAACAGTTTTTTTCTATATATTCCTTTAAGAATAGTAGGTATTTACTAGGTATTTAATTAAAAACTTCATATTAACAATAAATAATACCCTACTATGTTAAATAACAAAAATTAAACCACATTGCCGTCCCCGGCAACCATCACGACCACCCATCTTCCCAGGTAGATAGGATGGAAGTTAAAATCTAAAATGTTTTGTTGATTCGCAATTTGTCAAGGTTATTATTACCAGTTAATTATAATGTTCTGCTAGCTATAAAATAACTAATAATAATTTATATCTTATGGAGGGCTAAAAACAGCTCATAAGGTGTTTTTTAGATATCTTACATAGATCTTTCGGCATATCTATTAGGCATCTTTTAGAGAACATTTTGCTAGGTGGGTATACTACTAAAAAACGACCGACGGTGTCTATAGTGTTGAAGAATTACCAAAAATCAATAAAATCAATTTTTCTGTCATCAAACTTTGTAAACGTATCTTACAGACACCCTATATTGTACTATGATTCACCATTTCTCAATGGTCCACACCCAAAAGTCCCACCACGTGACTTTGATACAAATAATTAAGGTTAATTTTCTGTCAGTGTTAAGCTTATTTCATCCTACATACATATAATACAATGTATATGTCATATTATGTATTTTTTGACTGAATTTAGAAAACAAAAAATACATACACAGGATGCACCAAGTATCCTTCTATGTATTGGTATCTCTTGTCTTTGAAGAGCCACAAGGTCAGTTAAATTAGAGAAAAGTTGCGTAGTCCACTAAATTTGCATTTAAAAATTGGAAAAAAAGTGCGGTTCTCAAAACAAAAAATAATTATGACTTCGATATTCCTAGGAATTTTGAAAAATGTTTACATGTAAACATACACATTTATTTAAATTTTAATTAAATTTGTGATATTTTTCGCCTATTAAATTTTGAGTTACCACCATTGTCTTTTGTTTTTTCTATAACCACCACATTGAAAATTTACTTGTGTATCAAACTACTAGTTACGGCGGCCATTATAAAAAATAAAAGAAGGAGATTGTAATATAGTAGCGAATAAATTGCATGAAAATGTAGTTCAATGTGTATGTTTACATGTAAAACTGGCTGTTTTTTTAATTCACAGGAATAACGTAGTTAACACGACCTATTATTCTAATACACTTACAAGGATACTCGGTGCATCCTGTATTGTATTATTTTTTGAAAATAATTAAGAGAAATTAGCTTGACACTGACAAAAAATAAACCTTAATTATTTCTATCAAAGTCACGTGTTGAGACTTTCGGGTTTGGCGCATAGATAAAGTAAACATTATTTTTGGTGTGGAACATAATATAGTTTGAGCACATGTTAAGTTTATCACAGCATCGCTCGACAACGGTGGGCAATGCATTTCTGAAGACGTCGCGAAGCGTCGCGGCGATAAACTTAACGCGCTCGAACTCTACCTATATATTTATATATTTGTTTCAGACCATGTGAACCTACAAAATTGGCAAAAATAGTAAATGAAACTTATAAACAGTTTAATGTAAATCAGTATCCCTTTGTTTATCTAAATGTTATGACTAAAGGAATTCTAATTGATGTGAATGTTACGCCAGATAAACGGCAGGTGTTTTTAGAGCAGGAAAAATTATTATTTGCAGTTATAAAATATTCTTTATTGGAAGTTTTAAAGTTTTTCCCATCAACTTTTAAAATGCAAAACCTTAATATTACTAAAAATTGCGCTAGTCCAAAAAATCAAGGACAGGGAATTAAAAGAAGATTGTCTGATTCCGTATTAAAAAAGGGAAGTATATTGGAAGCATTTAAAAAGAGGACAAAAACAGAGATTTCTTGTCAAGATAGTACTAATACGTTAGAATCCAAAAACTTTAATATTAATGAAGACAAAACATTACCTGCAAAATTGATTAAAAACGATATTTTAAATGATAATACATTACAAAGCAAAGTTAAGAAATACATTAACAGTAAAAATTCAGATTTGCTTGCATGCCAAACATACGATATATTGGAATCAAATAACGTATCAATACCAAAATTATTAGATGTAAATAAAAAATACAACTCTAAAGATGATTTGGATAAATCTTCTGACAAAGAAGGCTTAGAAGAATCTAAATGGATTAATAATATAAATTGTTTCTTAAATCAATCCAAAGATGCTTCAGTAAACGATAATGATGATTTATCAATGGAAATTAAGATTGATTGTCCTGCTCCAAAAAACAATAAGAAAACAATATGTCTAAATTTTTCCATACGCAATATTAAATACAGAATAAAACAAATGCAAGAAAAAAATGAAACTAGCAAAGATATTAAAGTAAAATTTCGAAGTGATGTTATTCCAGAAGATAACACTAAGGCTGAGGATGAATTAAATAAGCATATAAAAAAAGAAGATTTTATGAAAATGAAAATTATTGGGCAGTTCAATTTAGGTTTTATAATTTCTTTGTTAGATAACGATCTTTTTATAATTGATCAACATGCAACTGACGAAAAGTATAATTTTGAACAATTAATTTCAACGTCAGTAATAAGAAATCAAAAATTAATAAGGTAAATTTAAGACACTGTATCTTAGAAACAAAGTAACATTTTGTAAGGGCATCAACATTTCCTCATTCGGTATATACCGTGTCCAAAGTTCAGAATTGCTACCATTTTAAGTCCGTTATTATAGATGCTTAAAAGTCGGTTAAATTAGTGTTTGTCGTAGATAAAGCATAGTTTGCAATTCGTTTTATAAACTTCTCCATAGAGAAGTTTATAAAACGAATTGCATACTATACTCTATAGACAATTGTGTTTATTAAACACTCGTTCGCAAGCTTCGCTAGTACCTAATAAAACTCGTAACTAAAATGGCATTTATAAAACTCCGTTAGTATTACAAAGTCGCTTAAATTAGCAAATTGGTATATTTTTTTCTTATGATTAGAATGGTAAAAATAGAAAATCAATTGAACGTCGGGTTTTCGAAATATACACAACAATAACAATTTTTTAAATGGTACACCCTGTATATTTTTACATATTTTAAAGGAAAATTTGAAACAAAAAATTATTATTTCATAACTACCCTAAATAAGCACTTTTTGAAGGTTAAAATCTAAATTATTACTTCATTTTAACATTTAGAAAGTTCTAGTGATTATTAATTGTTTATTTTTAAGTTTAAGGTAGTTATGCAAACCCGACGTTCAATTGCTTTTTTGTTTTCACCATTTCGGTTAAATGAGCAAATTGCTGCTATAACTTCTCTGCAAACGAAATAATATTGACTTTATTCAATGCAGTTTACAGTGCATTAAAGGAACCCTTGTGGGATGTATAGACGGTGTATGTATCTTGGTATTGATTTAATTTAATGAATAAATGCCTGTTAATGGTATTAAGCACGTGAATGCTTCTACCAAGCATTGGTGTAAAAAAACAAAAAAGTTATATGCAGTCGCCGGGTAGGGATCCCGGTAGCATTTTTCCGTCTCCTATAGGGCTAGCGCAACCGAGTGCGCTAATCGTGTAGGATACGGAAGCGAGACCTGTATCTCCGTTCCCTAAGTGGTTAACGCACCGCCTGTAATTAGGTATTATCACTAGAGGCTAAATGTAGCAAAGTATTCCTCAATGTCACAATGCAGCCTGCCCTTAGATATATTATACCTCTATTGCTCAATGGGGCTGGAGGGGCCCAATGGGGCGGGGTCGGTTGGGTTGGGTTGTTAAGTTTGGGTTGGTTTAATAATAATAATAATAATCTTTATTTCCAATCAAATTAAAATTACATTCATACATGCGTATAAAATAATAACATGAAACGAAATAGAGTCATAATAAGATTATATGTATATATAAAAACAAAAATTCTATAATAAAAACTCTCTTAAAGAATATGGTTCCAAAGTTATTAACATCTCTTTGATTTTGGATTTATATGTCCTAAGACTTACAATAGTTTTTATATCGTTTGGTAACTTATTGTACAGTTTGAGACACATATAACAGGGGCTCTTTTCTGTTAAGGTTAGCCTATGATTTGGGTAGTTTACATCTCTAGTCCGGGTATTGTATTGATGGTGAGTTTGTAATTTAAACATATTTTTATTTTTAAAAAAGAAAATTAGACATTCATATATGTACACTGCATAAACTGTTAAAATGTTTGAGGTTTTGAATATACCTCTACAGCTTTCTTTAAATGTCATGTTTTTTATTATCCTCAGTATTCTTTTTTGAGTTACAAATATTCTATCTATTAAGCTATTCCCTCCCCAGAAAATAATTCCATATTTTGGTATGGCACAATGCAGTGTACCTGCATAACCAAGATGACAGCTATTCGTCATAACCTTGAGGAATACTTTGCTACATTTAGCCTCTAGTGTATTATCGCGCTATAACGTGCATACAATGATTCGCGCCTTTAAGACATACGTCAATCTGTTTGTTTGGTTATTATTATTATTATTATTTTATATGTACATACAAAGAACGATCACCTAGAAAGCTCATTGCAGAGTGCTTATTCGTATGCGGTGCGTTAACCACGGGAACGGAGATGCAGGTCTCGCTTCCGTATCCTTCACGATTAGCGCACTCGGTTGCGCTAGCCCTATAGGAGACGGAAAAATGCATCCCGGTACCTCTCGCATGCTACGCGAGAACTGTGTTAACTGAGCTATAAGAGTCGCTGGTCAAAATGGATTGTGCATATAGTTGGAATTGACAAACAATAATTACAATAAATATTAATTAAAGGTAATTGCGGCCAATTTTTTATATTTTTTATAGAAAAACCGGCAGCATGTACTACAAGAGTTCGAACGAATTAATTATTTCGTTTTAAATTTTTTTTAGATAGGTACAATGGCGGACACGGAATTTTGAACGATCCCATTGACATCAAAACCTTAGTTCCGGTTATCACTAGCCTTGTGATTTTGAGAGTGAAAGCAAAAATAGTCAATATTGTCGCTGATATTTACAAATTTATTTATGGACAACCAAATTATGACATTCAAAATTCCGTGTCCTATATCTCAAAAAATATATTATATACTTAATGTTTTTCTGCATTTTCTGCAAAATTATTATGTGGGGCCCCCCGTATGTGACGTCACTTCCGCCTAGTGTCGTTTTTTCTTTGTTTATTATTTACTCCCTATTTTAAAACGTTCCCTTCCACTTAATCCTAGAATTTGTATTCTCGACTCAAGTAGCGAACATACAATTCATTTCATTTCATTTATTTTTATCTCCACGTAAGACAGAATGAATAGCTTTCATCAGCACGAGATTTGAACGCTTAACTCAGGTGTAAAAATCAGAACATACATTAACTTTGACTGCAAATACTTCAGTAAAGTATTAATAAACTAGACGCGTTGTGAAGTATTCTTTAAACTTTCTTTATCAAATTCCTATTCATCACAAAATATTCTTAGACTATGAAGGTAAAAACGTTCACATAACATGGAATAAATAATTATTATTATTATTAAATATTAATATTCATCAACACGAGATTTGAACGCTTGACTCGGGTATAGAAATTAAAACATACATTAACTTTGACCGTGAATACCTTATCTATACCGGATTCCTATTCATCACAAATATTCAATGACTATGAAGGTAAAAACATCGTCAAAGTATAAGAGCAGCAAAGTATTCGGACACATGAGCTGCGAATATAAAAGGTCAAAACTTGAAAAAAAAACATATTCAGGTCCATAAGAATACGGCCAATATTTTTTATTTGCAGTGTATAGCTATAGCTCCAATTGTAACAAAAAAAGTATACAAAAGTTCTCTTTTAGTTCCACCCTTACTCCCTAAGAAGTCCCAGAAGCCAACGGAGCAAATAACTTTTGACACAGTAGATAATAGTAGTTTACATAACAAGAGTGAAGAAGTTACGCACGACAGGTATTTTGACCTAAAACGTGGCCAAAAATATTTGGGCATTTTTTCGGTATCAAAAGGGTATACAAATGATAGGTTTTTTTTACTATAAATAAAGAAATATATGCATGCAAAAATTTATTTTAAAAAAATTCACAGTAGCTATTAACATGCAAGTATACTAATAATACAATAAAAATATTAAAATTAACATAAATTAAACTAAAAATAAATACATTTAATTAATTATTTATTGTAAATGATCGGATTTTTTTATTAAGATCTTACAAAAGTGTCTGTTTTCAAGGGTCAATTTTTCCGTGATGTTCTGAAGTTGCATATATTTAAAAATACAAACATGTTTGTGAAAAAAAATAAAAAAATGAAGTATTTTTAGGTAGATGGTCATAGTACTCGATATGAATAAATAATACCACATACCTTGATTGACGATATAAATATCGTACGAAGACGTACGATGTAAAGGAGCGGTAGGTTCCAGCTGGTGATACCGCGGACTGGGTTGGTCAATTTAGGTAGCAACTACAACACAAGATAGTCATGTTATCTATCTGCTTTATGAAGCAATCTTAGATCTAGTAATAAAAATTAACAAAATTTATTTATGGGCACGTTTTAGGTCCGCCTATGCGACGTCCGTAAGGCGAGTTGACATTTCTGACAAATATTTACTTAATTTTGTCACCATAATATTAGTAATAATTCAAACAAGCGAAAATTGCCTAGCCCAACGGTTATGTTACTATAGCAACCACAACTTAATCCCATGAAATTCCCTAACTGCGATTTTTCAATATTACACACTATACGTAAAGTGGCGTTTACTTAGGTTGTCATTTGTACAAAATTTGCCGTTTTAGGGGCAGTCCATAAATGATGTCACACGTTTTTTTAATATTTTTGACCCCCCCTCCCCCCATTGTCACAAATAATGGGATTCCCCCTTGGCGTCACGTCACACTCGTTTAATTTTTAAGTAAGGTCTACCCTACGAAATTTTTGCTTAAAAAAATCTAAATTTAGATTTATTAGTGTTAAAATACATAGTATATACACACGTCAGAAAAATATATGAAATACAATTAATAAAAAATATTTATGAAATACACTAAATATAAATAAATAAATAAAAAAACATTACATAATTTGATTAAAATCATCACATATAATCTTCAAAAGAAAAGAAAGCCTTTTTTAATAAAAGGATTTTAAAATGTTTTTTAAATAATTTTAATTCCATGTTCCTTATGTCACATGGTAGAACATTAAAAAACACCGATTATTTCCCTCATTATAATATGAACCAATCAAAAGCCTTGAATTTTCGAATAAATTTCGTTTAAATAAGCGATTAAATCACTAGAACTATTTAACAGCGATTAAATTTTAGCCTCCATATTAGATTTTTGTTTACGATTTTATGGTGTTATTTACAAGTTTTAACAAACATTTTTTAAAAAACAATAAAAAATAAGTTATCTAGTTTACGAAATATCAATTATTACTTATTACATACCTTAAATTAATGGAATTTTCTTTAAAAAAATATTTATAAATTTTGACACATTTTATGAATTGTCAAATAGTTTCCTTTAATTCGAGAAATAATCTAGACGTATATCACTCAACCTATAA